TTATTATTATTATTATTATTATTATTATTATTATTATTATTATTATTATTATTATTATTATTATTTAAAAATATTGAAGATCCGATACCTGGATTCATTATAAGAGGTAAAAAACGTTCTCTGGTAAAATTGTATAAAATTGTGCCTGGACCTTTGATCATACCATCGACTTTAACAATGCTGAGATAATTGACAAAGGCAACTGCCGCATTAGAAAGACGCTGGAATCCTGGCACACAGTGAAAACTGTTGAGGCCAACAACAATTCGTGCCCTCCGCAGGGACAATATAATATTCTTTTAAACAAACACTAATTTTACACTTTTAGCATTCTCACATTCTTTCACACGTATTCTATTTAATATATGCCATTCGCTTGTTATATTCAAATTCTTACGTCTATTTTATCATTTCATTTTTGTCCATCGAAGACAGCAGACTGGCTGTTGAAAGCCCACAATTTTATACAATTTTACCAGAGAACGTTTTTTACCTCTTTTTTTATTATTATTATTATTATTATTATTATTATTATTATTATTATTATTATTTCATTTTTTATTTTATGGTTTGATGCTACACGGACAATATCCCCACATCTGTTAAAGAATGGATTAGTGTTCTGAGGAGAAACTACAGTAATGGGTAAATGTTGATCAGTCTTGGTAATTAAAGGATGATAAAATCCTATAACAAGACACACACCACCTACCTGTGATCAAACCTCAACAGAAGTGCCATAAATTATCCTGTTGAGTAAGAGAAACACAAAAGCTCAAATTTGCATGTTTTCTCTTTAGCAAAGTTTAATCTGTTTATTCTCTTACATATTATAAAATACATTTGGCATTTGTAGTAGTACGTACAGCACTTGGACTGCTAGAGTGAATGCGGTGCACTCAGTTCCGGAGCAGCACAGCTACAGGTGTACATATATCCTACAACTGTAGGTACTCTCTCAACACAATTTATTGTTGCTGGCACCCTTCCGTCCCAGGAGACCATGTGTTTGCACCTTAGAGTCAAACTGATGTAGAGCTGCAATGCCTGCAGCTATGACTCACTGAGCAATCCAATTACTCTGACTAGCAGTGTCTCTCTCAAACCAAGTGTGTCAATGCCAAGGGGTACATGTATTTACCAACTGCCAGGACAGCATGACAAAAAGCTTGGGAGCAGGGGAGGGGATAGCTGTGAAGGACTAGCATCCCATGTGGGGGAGAGTAGAGTATCCTGGTTTCTGTAGCATGAAGCGAGTATGGATATTTCTACTCCCCCCTGGATGGGATGCTAGTCCATCACAGGGTTACCCCCAGCATTAAGTTCGCCAGCATCTATTTATACATCTGGGTGGAGAGAGGCACTGTGAGAGTACAGTGCCTTGCCCAAGAACACAACACAATGTCCATGGCCAGGGCTCAAGCCCAGACCGCTCGATCCGGAGACAAGGGCACTAACCATGAGGCCACTGCACCTCCCACATTTCTACTCCTCCCTTCCAGGAAGGAGTAGAAATACTTTTATTTGCTTAATGTTCCAGAAATCAGAGATAAGTGCTGGCCTGATGGGCCACTTGGCTCGTATGGTGACTTTAGACTGAGTCAACACTTTTGTTAACAAGTGTAACAAGTGTCAATATTGTTTTTAACAATTTAAATACATGTACATAGTACGTAGAAAGAGATAAGCAAGCCTCAGAAGAGTGATGCCAAAATATACATGTATGTACATGTATAGCTTTGTATATTTTAACTGAATTTCAACAGAATGAAAAGAAAGTCATGTCCAATAGCCCTGGGCCTGGCTAACCAGTGCCCCAGGTATCAAAATTTTATTACAGCTTACATTTGATTGGTGCTCCAAATGACTTGGCAACAGTTACCATAACATCTGTTCCGGACACCTGAAATGTCAATTCGACCAATCTTAACAGAAAGCAACTGAGACAGAGCAATAGAATATCAGCTGCTTGTAGATTAATTTACCATAAATGACAAAAGGCCCCAGGTCCAGGTCGTTCGAAAGAAATGATAAACACAAGGTGTTGTTTTAAAACAACAGATGTGGATGGGCAAGTTTTAACATGTGGATAAGGGTTGGACAAGAAAATATTTCACTAAGGAAACAAGAGCAGACAAAAATAATGCTGTATGCACATGGCAGTCAAGAATGAAATTAAAAACATAATATTTTCCCATCTGGTTCAACTAATTTAGCTGATAAGCACATCATCAAAATTTCTGGACTCTAAAATGTCTCACACCAATGGCTTAAGAGTGTGTCCATGAGAAAACCAGGCAGAACCTGGCAGGTGACACGGCTCAAATCACCGACTTTGCTCAAACTTGGGGCAAATGTTGGGTTTGGTGAGTAAATGATTATGGCAAACTAGTGAGACAATCTCAGATAGTGCAGAGCGCAATTGATAGCTCTGTTACAGTAGTCCCATAAGTACT